TTGCCTTGAAAACTGCAAGGACTCGTCCAAGCAGTCACTGCAGGGCCAGCAATGACTGAGCGCAGACAAAAAAAAAAAAAATTATACTGCAAATAATTACATAGTACAATCAGAAATATAGGGAAACCAAAAACATGTGTGACAGGTGAATCCTTCAGAGATGCAACTACTTATATTGAAATGGATCACTTTTTACAAAGGAAAATCCTGTGTAAAGATGTGTTGAGAATAAAGCTCTTTCCTTTTATGCTGCAATTGCCATTCCAGATTTCTCATCTCTTTTTCTTGGAAACCAGCTTCTGATTTTAAAGCTTAATACTTAATTGATCAATTGTAGCTATTGATTTTTATATTTATACTTTTCGCAATCTATATAATTCTCTCCTCTCTAGTGTATTTCTACAGCATATTTATATGCACACTCAAAATTTGTTTTTATTTGCTTAAACAGATGAAGTGTTTTCAATTTGTTTTTCATTCCTGCATTCATTGCGATTGGTTTTGATTATTTAAGAAAAATCCATTAAAATTATACCAGAAACATCCAAAACAAATATTACAAATAAAGCCTAATTCTGGCTCCTTAAAATGGTATCAAATATTCTCTCTGACGTACATACAATTTTACTGCTTTTTTAGGTATCACATAATCAGTGTCCCTGTGCATGCTCTAGGCAGAAGTTCTGTGGATGTTAGGATTTATTTGAGACATAAACTTTGCTGCTGTATATAGTCAGTCTACTTACCCTCGATGTTAATTTCCTGAAGCTAATATATTTTCATCATAGTGTGCTGGCCCAACTACTGTATATGCTTTCTTTTTTTCCAATGTACCAGAATTATGATCTCCCCTTTTCCATGTGGCATCAGTTTCTCTTTGCTTGAGAGCTGGAACAAATTCTTTGCTGAGACAAGTGCATCCTCTCTAGTTTTTGGGGATAACAAGGAGAGGAGTAGGTAGGAGGCTCAAACTGTCAAGCCAGAAGCAAAGAGCCTGAGATCAAAAATTTGGTGCAGGTGCCCTTCACATCCAAAGCTGAGAAATGAAGAAGTCTGCTACCACATAAGGAAAGGTGAGATTTTAAGCCTTGGAGCTACTATAAACAGCAGGCTGGATTGTGAGATTCTGTAATAGCAGATTGTTTCATTATTCCTTTAACTTTTTCATAAAAGTGACTTATCTAAGCCTTTCTTCCACTGCTAGCTCCTAAGCGCTGAGTAAGTTTCCTCAGAAAGATTTATTGCTGTGCCTTGGGTGAAGCTCTGACAGTCACTGCATTTAAAGGAAACAGTGTTCTGCCTTCTAAGAAAGGGTTATTTTATGGAGGAGCCCAAAGGTATACTTTATGGAAAGCCACCAGAACAGTTACCACCCTGTAGGATTCGTCAATGTTTTTATATATGATGTAATAGGCTGCTTTTCCAGGTCCTTAGGTTCCTGTAAGATCTCCAAAAGACAATAAAATGGAAGAGGATAGCCTTAAGAGATTTGTTACACAATGCACATACAATGTTAACTTACACAGAATTAAACCTGTGGCCCATTTAGGCCACAATTATCTCCTGTGACAGCAGCAATTCTTCATTGGTTCTCAAACAGGACTTCCCTAACCCTTCCAATTTAAACCTAGTTTTGTTTCAGCTTTAAAGAATGCTTTTATGCAGGAAAAGAAACTTGAGATTTTTCTCATTAGCCTATTTATTTTAAATTTAAAAATCTTTCTTTCAAGTTAAATTGTTAACATGGATTTGAATTAACACATTTTGCAAGATAGAACTGGCCTGTTTTGTTCCATTTGCTTTCCTTATAAAATAATTGGAACACGATAGATTTGATTTGACCCTCCTTATAGCAAGGCAGTCAAACTGTGATATTTCTGTTTCAGCATGTATATTTATTCCTTCCTTAAACATGATCATAGATATATCTCAATGAGTAGTTTATTCATAATCTCAAAATTATACAAATTAATAATGTTAACAGTGTGATACTATACTGCCTATCTTAATATAATATTTCCATTTTAAGGCAGTATGATATAGAACTATTTTCCCTAACTTTGGAAGCAAGGCCTAGCATTATCCAAACTATCAGGACTACACCAAGTTGGGGAGGGCTGGTATTCTTGTTGCAACCTTAACTAGAGGTTTAATATCCCTCTCAACTATGTATCAGGGTGTCCTTCATTCAAATCTCTGCCTCTCAACCCTAATTTATCTCACAGGGCGCTTTTGGCAGGACAGAACAGAATCCTATGTGTGCTGCTCCTAAGAAAAAGGGGAAACAAACATAAAAACAAATACACAAATTTTAAAAACTCATGCTGTTAGAAAAGGTGCTTACTGTACTCTAAAGACAGATCTATCCTGGTGACCTGCAACTGAAACTTTAGCTTTTTATATAAGTGACTTAAACTTTCTGCAGAAACTTCCAATAATCTGTTTTGTAAAGAAAAAGCATGTCAAAAATATTATGTGTATTTTACCAATACAGTTTACATCACACATATGCATGTGCATGCCCACACAGATGTGCCAAGGTTGGAAAAGGAATACCTTTTTCTAACAAACCAACATGGTTTTCCAGTGTTAATCTTTGTGGTTATATTGACTAATGGTCAATATACTTGCCATGGTGCATTTAACAATTATTGTTTGTGGGTTTTTAACTGTGCATTAAAGTTAACTTAAAAAATAAAGAGCTATTAATGACTCAACAACATTGAAAGAAAATAAATAAGCCAGCTTCCCCCAATCTGGTATCTTCCAGAAGTACTGAATTACAGTGCCCATCAGTCCCAGCCAGCATGCACACCCCCATTAGTTAATTGTAATATGACTTCCAGCTGTCAGACCTATTCCTCAAGCAGACTTGAGAAAGGCCATGTAGCCGGTGATTATTGTGTTAAACCATCAGAGGCTCCCTGGCTTTAGAAGTATAAGCCAGCCATGAAAGGGTGAAAAAAAGAAACTCCATAACACTCTGACGCTGGCTGAGAGAGGACCCTTAAGATTCTCCTTCCGTCAATCATTCATACAGAAGCACACGGTCTGCAATGAGCAGCATACACAAGTCAGCAGGATGTCACTTCTAAAGTTTTCTTTTCCAAATCAGAAGGATTTATGGCATCTTATTCTTTACAACCTGCATCTCCCAGCTATTTCCCAACCTTTCCCTGCACAGAACGAGAACGAGCAAGTTTACGTATTAGAGATATTCGTAAAGTGATTGTCAGCTTGCAAAATTCATTCTGAATTCAAAAGAAGAAAGCTTTAAGAGTGCAAGTTGTGCTTGGGGTTGGCTCAGCGTGCCTTGAGTTACAGAAAGCAGAGCGTCCGGAACAGTAGCCTCTAATCAAACCACAATAAAAACAGACAGCGCTTAGCCTGGCTTTAAAAATAAAGTCCCAAGTAGGACTACCGGGGCTCAGATCTTGCCATCACATCCCCTCCGTTCTTTGCCCTGACTCCTCCAGCACCGTTGTATGGGCAATCAGACCTGTCTTGGATTTGATACGACCGACCGTACCTCTGAGTGGCAAGAGTCCGTACTACTGTTGATAGCAGCTGTCCGTCCTTGGCCGAAACTTGCATGACATACTGCGGCTGTCCATTCACAAGGCTGCTACAGTCCTCCACAGTCTTTACCACAGGAGTGGCTGAGCTGGTGCAGTCTGGTAAGACTTCGGGCAGGTGACTGCAGCGGCTGGTTGTCATGGTAACAGACAGCAATTACTCTGCTAATGGCTTCCACATTCATACAGGATTTCCATCTAGGAAAAAAGATTAGAAAACCATTTATTGAAGAGCAGGCTGCAAAGACTGAATACAGACCACCTGCATCTTTATTCATTAATATTCAACAGAACTCAAAACAACATCATTTCTTGTTATAGTTTTTTTTGTAAAGCACAAAAGGGGAAAAGCAAGGATTGATAACCATGCAAGGAGCACTGCGATGTACAATGCTGTCTTATTGATTCTCTTGGAAAATGAGAGATTTTCTCTCTTTAAGAAAAAAAACCCATGTTCCTGCTATTGGCGGGGGATGGGCGGCTTTGAAATGTGGGCTTGAGAAATTGCATGTCTATGAAGCATGTGTGTTTCTTTCTTTACGTTTCTCCACAATCATCCGTGTCTTGATAATAAATGGAAAGTCTCTTTTCACTGCCTCCCCCACTCCTGGCCACAAAATACTTCTTGCTTGTTGCACAGGGCAAAACAGATTTTGCTTTTGATCCCGTCAATTCTACACCAGCCTCTACTCAAAAAGTTATACCTTTCACGAGGAAGAGGACAAGAAACTTAAAATCCTTCTCAGGAAATCATCCATTATTGCTAAGTGCATTACATCATCAAGCATGGAAAAAACACCAAAATTAACGTTTAATGAGAGAAGGGTTTTTGACCACCTCAAAGTAGCCTGCATTTAAGAATAATATATGTTGCAAGTTAAAAATGGGAAAAGAGGGAGAAAACCAGTCTTGTATGGGGTCATTTTTTACACATAAGCATGCTCACGGCAGTAATATGTAAAAATTTGAACTAATTTATCAAGAAAATTCCATTCTCACTCTCAGTCAAGGTATTAGTGAGAGTGTTACCATTTCTTGAGATCTTAACTGAGCTAAGTGTAAAAGGAGAATTGCGCTTACTAATATTTGCCAAACATTAAAAGAAAAAACCCACAGGCATTTTTATTTTGAGAATAGCGGTATTATTCAATAATTGCATTTATTTTAAAAATGGTATGTGTCACCGTCTGCCACAACTGGCAGTCAGCATAATATGAAGCAGTTTTCTGAGTCCTCCTTCACAGATTAATGCAATATCTTGGTGTAATAACAACAACAACAATAGCTGGGAATGGCTATATTTTAATATTTCCCAAAATATAAAAAAGAAAGTTGAACCAGGTGGGGTGGGTAAGGGAGTCTTTTCTTTTGGGGTGACCTATCTGTGATCAAATGCATATGCAGACTAGCAATTCACCACGGACGTTCTTCTGCTCTGAGCATACTAGATTCCAGTGCTCTCCATCACAATGAACACACACAATTTTTAGGAAAGATTACCTCACTCTGTGTGGAATAATGTTTATTGGGGCTGACAGAGCACCAAAAAGGAATTTTGGATCTGCTCGCCCCTTTCCTCTTTTCAGAAGGAAACAGACTCAATTCTCCTTCCTCTGTCTCCCGATGACAAGTAATAAGAACATACGAAATCTGAACTGATCGCATCTTGGGCATTCACTTTATCAACTTGACGTAACTGGTTGAATTATCAAATACAAATGCACAGGGGGACTGGCGTGCATCCAATGTGTGTTAAAAGCCATGATACAGCACCCTAAATATAAAGACTGACTATCATTGCCTTATCTGTGTGACCTCAAAGTATGGAAAGATTGAGATCTTGTGTTAGATCAGCTATTGGCTTTATTTGATCACTGGGTGCACAGTCATGTTTTTGGGCACCCCAACACTTGCTGAAAAATTAGTGGAGGTAAGAAAATTATTTAGAACGTCTGTATAACATGAATGATAGCTCAGGTGTTTGCATGCTTGCAAAGTATTGAAGAAAAGAGATGGATGTTTGAGAAAACTACCCTCCTTGTAGTGGTCGTTTTAACCTTGAAGAAAGTGGATATTCTCCAGAGAGCCTGAATGCTGCCAATGTACAACTCTGTGGTAGTGCCAACACTCCAAGAACAAGGAAGAAAAAGAGTAGCATTCTGATCCTCATTTACAATAAAACAGAGCAAATAACAAATTCCAATACCATTAGCACAAAAGGGAATGCAGAAGAATGCAGACTTAAGAGAACAGTCTCATCTCCCACAGCATATGGACATGGATTATGAGCTACATTTTAGTTTTGAGATACATGCTGAGACTGTTCAGTGACTGTATGCAGCAGCACAGTAGCTGCCTCATTAAACTTAAATAGCCTAGACGGTGCTGTGCTTACAGATCCATGCTACAGAATTCTACATTTTCTTGCTTGCTGCTTCACTGGCCTCATTATGTACAGCAGCAAGATTATAATTCTGCATAAAGTGACCATCCATGCTTTTACAAAGGTATCCTTCAATCAGTTATGAGTGTTTCTTAACCACCAAATGATGCAGCTAAGAGCAAAATATTAAATGCACCAAACTCTCTTACAGTGGCTGCTAATTAAAAATAATAAAGATTGCAGTGATTTTGAGCAGCCCACCCAGCATACCACATTTAAACACATAGATAATATATTTTTAAAAAATAGTTTTAAAATTTAAAAACTGTCATTCATCCCATTAAACATACAGCAGATTTGAGGGGTGGGAAAAGAGAACAAGGGAAGAGTTCAGCTGCTGAAAGAGTTCATGGATGACATGACATTTCAAACCAGATCAAAGCCAGAACTCTGATTGGGTTAACAATCCTTCTTCTCCTTCTTCTTTCCTATCCCTGGTCAATCAAGCAAGAATTGTAAAATGAACACCAAACTCAACTTAAAAAAAAAAAAAAAATCAGCTGTGACAGAAACCCTATGATGTAATTCTCTGAAACCAAAAAAACCTGATTAGATTGTTTCTCACTATTCTCTCTGAACACAGTACCTCATGCAATACACATCTGAAAATGGTGTAAGTGATAAGCTGCACATATTGAACTCCAAGGTAAATATCAAGAATTGTTCTGAGACTTACTGACTACGGCATCATCAGAGCATACAAAAATAAAAATAAATCTTGCCACCTAACAAATTCACATCCCACGCATATATTGCTGTATTTGTTGTAAGTGTTTCAAAATTAAACATACGGAAATTGCTTATGGTTCTATGAACCTAGAACCATACCCCATTTTGGTGCAAAGACCAATTCCCCAGCCAGCATGGAATTCTGGGAGTTGAAGTCCACATGCCTTAAAGTTGTCAAGGTTGAGAAGCTCTGATTTAAGGGGTATTCCAACTTATTCCAAGTTCTTGCAATATCTAGTTAATAACTAATAACTCTTTAACTTATAAACAAAAATACTGTAGCCTTAAAATCATCTCAGACATATACAATATTGAAAGTAATTCAGAAGTTTTAGATGCTGCTGGTGCAACTGCACCAAATTGCGAAATCCTTTATTTATCAATGGTTTGGTTCAGTTGTGGAATTAACTTATATAAATGACTAGCTAGACTGTATATCTTGGCCTTTAGAAGAAAAGTTAATGTAATTTCTGCACCAAAAATTTGAATTTTCAAATCTCCATATATCCTGCAAGTTTAGATGTTTTACTTTGCATAATTCATTTTCATTCTGCTAACCACAGTAAAGGACAGACAGCAATGTAGAACAGATAATATATATTCAGCTCAGTCCCCTTTCAGAGATCTAAGTTCATAGCACTTCCAAACCAGATTTCAAGACTCTCACCGTTACTTGAGAGCAGAGATGGACAGAATACTAATAGATCTTTGAGTGATCTGGAATGGATATGCAAGATTGTCTAACACCAGTAACAACTAAAAAAGGTTTTGCTCCCTTGCCTTAAAATCCAGAGTTTTATTTTTATGAAAACTATTAAAATTGAACTTGGAACCCTGAGAAAGTTTAAGCCTTTGCAATAAATCTTGCTTTTACTGCATCATAACAAACTGCCCCATAGCAGTAATACAATAGGGAAGCCTAGATGTATCCCATGAAATATGTCTTTCCCAACGAGCAAGTGAACAGAGAGAGCAAATGGCAGTTTATCAAGGGACTTGGGAGAAAGAAGAGAACACGAGCCAAAGAGGGGAAGAGACTGCTGTTGCTGCTGTTGCTGTGCTTGACTGCTAATTGCTACTGATAGTTTCCAGAGTGCTGTGGAATGATGGCTTATATTTTCTTGAGTGATTACCCATTGAATCTGTTTGGAGCACTGCTCTTCCTTAGTTCAGGCAGCTAAAGGTAGTGTACAAGGGGAGGGAGGGAGTTTCCAGAGAGCAAGTGAACAGGAATTCAGCAGGGAGGCACTCCCCTTTCCTTTTTCTTCTTTCCTCTTTTTTCCCCCATCTTCTTTCATTCCGGGCTAATCTTCAGCCAGAGAGACAGGATCTCTAGATCTTCTAGATCTAGGAGCTCATAATCAGAACAAAGGTTTGGGTGGCAGAGCAGGGCTCTGACCAACATGGATACCAAGGGAAGCATCCTTGTGACCTACAAATGTGTGAAACATTTGTCTTCCTGACCCCAAATGTAACCTTGTTTCCTTATTAAAGGAGAAAATAAAGGGACTTGAAAAGTTGTTTCACTGAAATATATCAGGGAAGATGAGAGGTTCATGGATGGGAGAGCTCAAGCTCTCCAGGAAGGGCAGAAAAGTGAAAAGAAACCAAAGAACTGGGGAAAAAACTTTGCTAGAGGGAAAGACATGGAACAATATGACCCCAAAAAACAAGTGCACTCAGAATCAATGAAATCCAAATATGGGTACCAGATTCTCCATTTAGAGAATGACAGAAACCCACCTGAGGAAACCATATCATAGAACACTGTAGAGGACACTTGGACCACCATGGATTGAATAACTCCAGGAGCCATCCTGAGAAAGAAGAGGTGTGTCATAGCAGTGGGTGTTTCCCTATTAAGAATTTAGCTGGTTGTGTCCAGAGCCAACATGATACTGTAGGAGATATTTTGTTTTCCAGGTGTGCTTATATAGGACATGGTGGTATCTGTTCAAACCTATTTAAACCTACTGACAATTTTCTTTTTCTCTTGATCTGTATGAGTATGAATGATAGAG